AAAACATGACCACATGCTGGCCATAAACACAGTCAATGTATTTTAAAGAAACAAATTCAGAATAAAGAATATATTCCCTGACCACAATGCAATTTAACTAAAAATGAAAAAAGAAGGATTTAACAAAAGTTAAGAGGACACATTAACAAAATAGAAAAGAAATAACAATAGCAATTGACCAAAAAAAAATAGAAGACACAAGTAACCAATATCACAAAGAAAACTATCATTCATACAGACATGTATAAAGAAGAATATTATGAAGAACTTTAAGCCATAATAAATATGAAAATTTAGGTCAAATGGACAAATTCTTAGAAAAATATAATTTATTAACAAAGAGTCAAGAAGACACAGAAAATTTGACCAGTCCCATAAATAATAAAGAATATATCTCACTGGCTCAAATTCTAAGCCTGTATTTGTTCATTAATAAATTTTACCAAGTTCCTGAGGAAGAAATAATTCCTGTAATTAATTCCAATAATTCGATACATCTGAGAAGAAAATAAAAACATTCTCGAACAATTTTATGAAACTAAAATCATATTGATACAGAAACCTACGAAGATACTACAAAGGAAAATTAGAGTTCAATCTCACTCATGAACAGAAATACAAAATGAATGAATGGATGTGTACCACACACATGTAAGACAACTAAATTCTGCAAAGCATAAAAAGCATTCTTTGTTACGATAATAAAAACACCATAGAAATTTAGCTTAAAATAGAAAATCAATTAGAAGATTATATTATCCATATTATCAGAATATTATACATTAGAAAAAGAAATAATCAAAATCAGAAAAAGCACTGTGATAAAACGTAACAACCATTCATGATAAAATCTGTTAGCAAAGAAGGAACAGAACTTCCTTACAATGATCAGGAGTTATAAAACAAAGATGTCCAAGGAGTTAACCAGTGGGCATGTGACCGTTATTCTTTTTTTAAATATATTTTTAAAAATATATTTTATTGATTATGCCATTACAATTGTCCTTTTCCCCCTTCATTCTCCTCACCCTGCACACCCCTCCCTCACTATTCCCCCCCTTTAGTTTATGTCCATGTGTCACAAGTTCTTTAGATTCTATATTTCCCCTACTATTCTTGCCCTGCCCCCTATTTTCTACCTACCATCTATGCTACTTATTCTCTGTACCTTCCCCCCTTCTCCTCCTCCCACTCCCCTGTTGCTAACCCTCCATGTGATCTCCATTTCTATGGTTCCACTCCTGATAGCTGTCCTCTTAGACTGCTTTTGCTTTAGGTGTGGTTGTTAATAACTGTGAATTTGCTGTCCTTTCACTGTTCGTATTTTTTATCTTCTTTTTCTTAGATAAGTCCCTCTAACATTTCATATAATAAGGGCTTGTTATTCTTGAAAGGTTCTGCTTACAAGGCAGACCCTTGGCTAGTTTCTGGAACAATTTGACTGATAAATTGTTCCCTACACTGACTTTTCCAAATGATGAAAGTTCACTGTGTTTAAAGTGTTTGTATAAACAATGTGGTTTTATTTGTTTTACTCCTGGGAGTGTGGGATTTGGCACCTGCTAGGCAGAGTGTGCTTCTGCAACCAGTACCCAATAAAAACCTTGGGCAGAGAATTGCTAGTGGGTTTCCCTGGTAGATGACACTTCACATGTGTTATCACAACTCACTGCCAGAGGAACTGTTTACTGTGTGACTGCAATGGTAGAGAAGTCTTTGGAAGCTTGTGGCTAAATGCCTCCAGAATTTACCCTGAATGCTTTTTCATTTTGTTACTTTTACTGTATACCCTTTCAATGAAATACATTATTGCCATTAGTAGAACTGCACATTGAGTCCTGTGAATCCTTCTAGCAAAATCCTTCTATCAAACCTAGAGGTGGACTTGAGACTTGCAACATAAATATCTACTATCATCACTAGTATTTGATATTGAATTAGAAGTCCTAGCTATTTCAATAAGGTGCAAAAGAGAGAGAGAGCGAGCAAGAGAAAGCACTTAAAAGATTAAGGATAGAAATACATTATGATGAATTATTGACAGAGAAAACCTAAAGAATCTATAGATAAGATACTGCAATAGATTTTAATAAGGCTGCTCACTAAAATGTACAAGACATCTTGCTGAGAAAACCATAGATATTAAAGAAGTTACCAATAAGTGCAGAGATACAACACAACAAAGGATTTAAAGATGCAATACTATAAAGTCTAATTACCCAAGTTATTCTACAAAGTCAATGTAACCCCAATAAAAATTCTCATGTTAGAGAATACCACACCTAGAACAAAAGCAATCTAAGAGGACAGCTAGATCAGGAGTGGAACCGTAGAAATGGAGATCACATGGAGGGTTAGCAACAGGGGAGTGGGAGGAGGAGAAGGGGGGAGAAGGTACAGAAAATAAGAAGCATAGATGGTAGGTAGAAAATAAATAGGGGGGAGGGCAAGAATAGTAGGGGAAATGTAGAATCTAAAGAACTTGAGACACATGGACATAAACTAAAGGGGGGGAATAGTGAGGGAGGGGTGTGCAGGGTGGAGGAGGATGAAGGGGGGAAATAGGACAACTGTAATGGCATAATCAATAAAATATATTTTAAAATATATTTTGTAGGGGAAGGAAGACTGTAGAATCAACAGGCTGATTCTTCCTATTGGTATAGAATTTTTAAGAATATAGTTATACTCTAGAAAATGAACAAAGTGGGAGAACTTACTCTATTAGCAAGTTTTAGGGAGGTTTAAACCCCTACAATAATTGGAAGAGCATAGTACTGGTGTGGATAGACAAGTGGAATAGACAGGCCAGAAACATATGTAGATACTTGATGTATGACAAAGATGGTTCTGCAGAGCAATAGTGAAAAAGATGAACTCTTCAGTAAGTGGTGCTAGGAAGTGTATGATCCATATGGGAAATTAAATGGGACCTCCAGTTCACTTTACATACTACACAAAAGTCAGTTCCAGATAGTTTACAAACATATATGTGAGATGCAACATTAAAAGTTGCTAGAAAATAATTATGGGAAAATAAATTTATAACTTCAAGGTAAAGAAGAATTTCTTCATAAGCACAAAATAACTATAAATGAGATATGTAATAAATCTGACTATATTAAAATTAGGAACATCTGCTACCAAGACACTATAGAGTAAAAAAAAAAAAGCCAAAGAAAGGAAGATATTTATAACACATATAACCATCAACTAGGATCCAAGAAATACAAAGAATTCCTACAAACCAGAAAGAAAAAGACAGCCAAGCAATGAAAAGATGAGCAAAAGACTTGAACCAGCATTCCACAAAAGAAAATCCAATGGCCAATAAAATATTTGAAAGATGCTTAATCTCATTAGGAATCAAGAGATCTGCAAATTAAAAACCACAATAAAATTACACAGCCATCAAACTGACAAAAATTTTAAAACTTTGACCCAACAGTTTCAGACAGTATGTGACAAGAGGTACATCTGCGCACTACTGGGAGCTGGTATAACCACTTTGGAAAATGTTTTGGTAACATCTAATCAAACTGAAGATACGTACACCCTCACAACAAGGCAATTCCACTCCCAGGTACAAACCCCAGAAAAACTTGCACACGTGCAAATAATGATTCATAAACAAACTGTTGATAGCAGCACTGGTTCTAAATTTTTGTTATTACATAAAACCTAAAGTCTACCAAGAAAAGAATAGATAAACTGTGGTAGAGTCCTAAACTACAAAGCTATTCAGGAATAAGAATGGATCAGAGGAGAGGGCACAAGATGGTGACAGGAAACCACTGAGAAGCTGGGGAGTGTTCTAATTTTAGATGAGTGATAGTTACATGGATGTTAACTTTTTAAACATGCATGCCATACTTCACAATAAAAAGAAAAAAAAGAAAAAGTAATTTATCTTTTAAGTAGAACTTTAATATGTATAATTAAACTTGAGGAAAAAAGTTGATGCATAATAATCTTCCAGGTATGTGCACTGTCATGTCTGTACCAATAACACCAATAAAAGGAAGTGTTTAAAAGGCATTAAAATTCTACAATTTCAATATTAACATAGCTTCTAAAAATGAACATAATTCCATGACATGATTCAATAACAATATTAAAGAATTTCTGGAACAAAAGCAGTTGTAAAACACTTCAAATGTGTAAGCTTTAACTTTAAACAGAGCTCAAGGAATGAAAAGGGCTGAAAGAGTATGAAAATTAGATGCACTGAAACAGCAAGTCCTGTTAGCTCTTCCTTTAAATCCAGAATCGAAGTATTTCCTAACGGTTCTAACAGCATTCTCTAAGCCACCATCATCTCTCATCTGAACCACAGTAACTGCCCTTTAACTGGTCTTCCTCTTCCCATCTTCTACTCTTGCCAGCTAAATTCCATTTTCCAGACAGCAACAAGAGTGATTTTTCAAAAAGCAAATACTCTCAAAACCTTCCCAAGGCTTCTACTTTCATTTAGAATAAGTAAAATCCACAGTTCAACATCTCAACTATACTTGTCACCTTGCTCCTGTTTTAATTCTTCAGACATGCCAACCTCGATATGGACTCAGTTGTTACTTTTGCTTTTGTTTCTACCTGGTATAGTTTTCTTTCAAATATTCACATAACTGCCTCTTTCTCATCATTGAGATCGCTGCTTGAATGTCATCTCTCAAAAGAAGCTTCTACTGACCACTGTACCAAAATAGTACCCTCACAACCTCATCCCAACAAACAGCATTCTCATTTTCTTTAATCTCCTCTGCCTTCTTTATTTTCCACATGCATTTAGTTCTATCTGAAATTATATTTGTTCTTCTACTCAACACCTGCCTGCCCCATTCCAACACATGCTCCATGTGGGAAAGAACTTTGTTTTGGTCAGTGCAGTATCCCTAGTAATAGATCCAGACCATGGTAGTCACTTAATACATTTGTTGAGCAAAAAATGAATCTAATTAATAAAGGAATTCTAACTGGAAAGGATTAGAAGAAATACATACATGTTTATTGCTTAATGGTTTTTTCAATAAAACATCTCTGGAAATATGGTCTGCTGTTCTTGCCACATCTTCCAAGAATCGATAATCTAAAAATTTCAAAATAGAAAAATAAACAACATCCTCTGATGGCCAGGAAGCATCAATCTGCTATGCATAAGATGGCTTACCACTTAGGAGATTCATCTCAGTAAATTGCTGTATTGAAACATATGCAGTTTTATCTCGAACTCCATTACATGTTAGTTCTATTTTGTGTTTCTTTACACAGGGCAAGCTGAAGAGACAAAGAGGAGGTGCTTTTATACTTAGAGGTAAAAATGGTACAGATAGAGGTAATAAGGTAGAAACTTTTATATACACACATACACACACACACACACACACACACACACATACCTGCAGGAATAACGCATACAACGTGGACATCTGTACTTGGCTTCTTCTGTCCCACAAGTTTCACACCTACAAAAGCCCACATGAAACTTAAATAAATAAATGACCAATTATTAATTCTACTTGTTTATAAAATTTTAATCTCAGTCAATTACTCATCACAACCAATTTACATGGTTATAGTGAATAATGTATACATACATATCTTTGATAAAATACTTCATAGCTGTCAAACATTGTTAGAACATTCTCCTCTAGGAAACTTGTCTCCAAATCATCTACATCTACAATGTCATTAGTGATATGTAATTCAAGAAAACATGTATTAGATTTTTTTAAAAATCTCACTTTTCACTTTTTTCTACTATAATCAAAGAATAAGATTATTAAACGCCCTTTTCAATTGTAATTCCTGGCAATCTCTTAATGACTGTGTGTGTATATACACCCAGAACTTCAATCCATAAGCTATGTTTGGTATCTTACAGGGACACATACCAGTAAAATATTAAGACCTAGTCAAATGTACAGGGTAGCAGTTGCATCTTTCTTCCTCAACTACACACCCAACCCACAACAGGCATCAGAGTAATCTAGTAATGCTATTACCCACTCTGTCCTCAGTCTTCAACTGCTCTTCTGGGATCTTGGGATACCACCATCAAACTACAGCTACTTCTACTTTGCTCATTGTGTTCTAGATAGTAAAAGTCTAATTCTAACCTTATCCACTTTGTTGTTGTTGGCTTTATCAGATTTTTTGTCATCTGTATTTTCTGTCACACAAAGACTGAGTCAAGATGATAAGCCAAGCCAGAATCTGGTCCAAGTGTTTTCTAGTCCCCAGAATTTTCATCTCCTGTCTTGCCCATTGGACACTACCAACATATTTTCACTGAATTTGTTCTTATCTGACAATCCCCGGCCCCTCCTCATTCCCAATTCCCCACGAGTCCAGGTACCCAAACTTGTGCTTAATTTCCTCCATCTTGCTGGTAGTGTGGTTTCCTCCAAACTATGGACCAGAGGACTCCACAGCTTTATTCCCCCAACAGATTTCTCCCTGCCTTACCTTGACATTGCCAGTTTCCGCTTCGAGCCCACGAGGGAATTTATCTGAGGCTCTTCTTTCACCTCTGTATCATCCAACATCTCTTTCTTTGCAAAATACTTTTCTTCTTTTACACACATTTCATCCACCATTTCCTCTTTTACGTTCTGACCAAAAAACATCTCCACCTGTTTTAACTCCAAGTTATCTTTTCTCTCTTCCTTCACTTCTAGCCAGTCCATCACCTCTTCCTTCACCTTCACTTTCTCATCCTTTACCTCTGTTTCATCCACCTTCTCTTCTTTTACCACCAAACTATCCACCTCCTGCTTCACCTCCAACGTGTCTGGTTTCTCCTCTTTCACCTCAGGCTCATCTTTCACCTCAGGCTCATCCTTCACCTCCTGCTTTATCCACTGGCTATTCAGCATACCTTCCTCCATTTCTGACCAGTCCGTAACTTCATGCTTCACAACCGTTAGATCCACTTGCATTTTCTCTACCCTTTGTCCACTTCTTTCTTCTTTAACTTCCGTTTTCTCCACTCCTGTCAGTCCATTCCCCGCCTCTCCACCGCCGGCCTCCTCCGTACCTGCTTCACCTTTGACTCCTTCCCTACCGGACTTGAACCCCAGCCGCGCCCCCTCAGCTCCACGCTGGAGACCGCCTCCAGACGTCGCTTCATTTTCAGCAGCAAAATCCATCAGCTCACAACCCTTGGCTTCCGCTACCACTCTATTTTTCAGTGTGGCTGGTCCACGCTAACAGATATGAATTACAGGCAGAAGACGGACAGCAATCCACGTGAGAAAAGTCAGCAGCGGTAAACGCCGACCTGCTCGCTTTCCTCCAAGTCGTCGTAAAGCAACACTTCCGCGCCTCGCTACTTTACGACTCTTAGAGCTCTTTACGGCTCTAGAGCTCAGCCCCGGGGCCACCACGAGAATTGGCGTGAGGCCACGCCCACCGTAATCCCGCCTTTGGGGCGGTGCTTTGCCCAAACCCGTCGAGTGGCGGGCTGAGATCTGTCCTCCCTCAGCTCTTGATCAGAGCTTAAAGAAAGTGAAGCACTGGAGAACTCGAACGAGGAGAGTACCAACCTACTGACTTGACTTGGGAAGACCCGCCCGAATCTGTATTAAAGATTAAATCTAATCTTGTATGGAAATGGAAGAAATATCTTGTTACGCCTCTGCAAACTTCAGTTTCTTCGCCTATGCTCTAGAGACGACAGTGTTACAAACCTGTTGGTGTTACTGTGAAGATCAAAGGGAATCGTGCATAGAAATAAGCTAGCAGTGACTGAAACAGACTCAGTATGTGGTGGCTATTATTACCGGGAATCCCAATAGGTTTCAGGTAGAACAGAGGCGTTAACTTTTACTTTTTCAATTCTTTGTCAGTAAGAGCCCGCCTTAGTCAGTTTCCTATTCTCAGCCTCTAGAGGATTCTAAGAGAGTATATACATGTGTATGTATATTTAAAGACTGGGCTGAAAGCTCAATCCTCAAGACTAGAAGACTGAAACATCATACCGGGCTTTTAGACACTTTCACCCTATTTTCATATCATGTCTGAGATACATCGTTTTTCTCGCTGCATAAGGAAACTCTAAAGAAATGGCTTTTTAGTTGTTAGGTTACTTGGTGCTACTGCCTCCCTCAAATCCTGTTATAGTTTGCAGGGCACTTAGCTATTTTTATTCAGTTACCCATTGCTCAGGGAATGGGAATTTTGAATGGGTGAGCAGAGTTAAGAGAAGTAACTTAAAAAACTTAGTTGGGGCACCACTGATTAAATAATGGTGGAAGGAGCATTGAAATAAGTTTGGAGAGTTTAGTAAAATCCCATGAATTGTGAGGAAGAAGCTTCAAATGGAATCATATTGACAGTCTCTTTTAGAGATGCCAGCTACCCTTGAGGTCAAAGACAGCCTAACTTGATTTTCAGGCTAGATTACACGTTTAGGAGTACACTAGAAAAGGATTAAATGACAGAAAGACTCCATCTGGACTTGATAAAGACAAGATTTGGGAGATGGGAGCAATGAGAGGGAGTGTTGATCCTCAAGATAATAAAATCATCTGAATTTCCATTCAGGATCACAGAGAAAGTTTTGAAACTACAAATCAGACACCAGAAACAAAGACTGTAAGGTTTTGGAACTTTCGTTGTTTCCCCACATTTGTTCTTTTTATGATCTGTGTATTTTTTTTCCCTAGTAACCAAAGGGAAAATCATCAAGCCAGTAAGGATCCTTGATAGCATTATAGCTAATAACATATGTAAGTTGAACAATCAACACTGTGGGACTGTAGTTTTAACAGAGATATTGGAGATTGTGGTGGCATGGTTGATAGCAGTTTTGAAGGAAAAGTGAGGCATGAGTGATCCTGAGAAGGGAATTTTGGGTTGTTGGAGTTTAGAGCCAGGGCATTGCCTACAAGAACAGAGACAGGGCAGGGACAGAGAAAGGGAGACAGAAGTTCCACAGGACTGTCATTGAATTCCAGTCCAGTTACTCAAAACATTTTCCTTCCCTTTTCCACCTTAATGGAGTGCTGGTACAAGCCCATCTCCTTCAGCGTAGGATTGAACCTTCCTGCTGTACCCTATCATCTCTGTCTCCCTTCCCTGCACTGGACATTACGGGGCAGGAAAAACCACTTTGGGAACTGGTCCTTTGCCAAAATAATAGAGTTCAGTTTAATACCTAAAAGTCTGGTATTGTTTTCTTGGAAGGCATTTTAGCCAAGACTGTAATACCATGAGAAAGTGTATATTAGGGATGGTTAAAACCATTCTGGTGACCCAGCAGGCACTGTATGTAATCAACCATTTGGTTGACTATATAGAGGGTTAGAAGGGTGTTTCCTGACCCCTCCATGGACAATCAAGAAAACAAAGACCACCAGAAATAAAATTACTAGCTCCATATTACATGACTGTTAGTGGCAGTACCGAAACAGAAAATTAATGTTCTGGTCAAAGCCCCTTGTTTGTACTTGATGCAGCTAAAAATAAGGGCCAGGAAGTAGAAGGGAGCTGTGTCCACACAAGTGGCCGGAAACAGGAACCAGAAACCAGAAAGCATGGAAGTCTGAATTTTATTTTGTATGGGTATGTGTAGTGGTGTGGTCACATTGGATTGTTCAGAAACAAATGCTAATAGGAGTTACTAGGGATCGACACCTGTGAAAGGAAGGAGGAGGAAGCAGGACTGGCCAGAGAGAGAATTTTAATTGTGATGCAGGTCTGACAACACCGTGGCCACCTGATAGTTAGCTTCGGAGAAAGCTTTTTCCTTTAGAGTGTCCCTCACCAGGCAGAGCTGCCTATTACTTTATATCTGGCTTCACTCGGTCAAGCTCCAGGCTGCCCCAGAGGGGACATGACCTTGGGAAAGAGGCCTCTCTGCTGCCAGACCAGACAGCTGGAGGCTGCTGGAGGTGGCCGGGTAGCAAGTCCCTCTTTGGGACCCGGGTGGCATAGCTCCGTGGGGTGAATGTGTTTGCCTCTGGCCATATGGCCGCCTCTCACTGAATCAGCTTCATTCTTTAAGGCCAGTTGTCTGTCTCTCTTCTCCATTACCTTGTTAAAAAATAACAGTCACTCCACAACTCATAGGTATGTATATTCTCATTATACTGAGATGTACATGACTGTGGGGGTGACTTCTTCGCGAGTCCCCCCGGTGCCACGGAGACGCGTGAATGAGTAAATATATGGCCGAGACATGCTGGATCTGTTTGGGGAGGAGGAGTGGGCTGTGGCCAGTTTCCCAGGGGAAACAAAGGCCAGGAGCAGCCAGTTTCTCTGAGGAGAAAAAGGTCCCAAGCGCCTTTCTCCATAGCCTTTTATTGGGTTGTAATACACAGGAATACAGGGCGGCAAGAATCAAATAGTAGATGACATTTCAAAGAGATCTGAGGGCTTCAGAGTCTGAGTCAGTGTCTGCCAGGAAGAGAGTTGCAGAAACTTTGGGAGACATACTCATTTCCTCTCGGACCCTTATCATATGAATGAAAGCACTCTTAGCAGATTTCACAGGTTTATCAGCAAGTTTTGTGATGCCAGATTTTTCCCCAGGACACACTCTGGCAAGGCAAAGAGTTGTACCTCTTCCCATCAGGTATTCAGGCTTAGGGGGATTAGAGCCAGGAAGCACTTCTCCCAGAGAACATGGGGACTCGGGCTTTGTCAAAGCCGGGGGTGGGGGGTGAGAGTCCATTGCTCTTTGTTGCAGCCCCCGAGTCCTTCCATGAAGGCCTCCCAGGTGATCGAGTCTGGCTTAGGTTGCCCCCCACTGTGAGGGGTCTTACCCGTCATTGACTTCCGACCAAACTTTGGGGGCAGGGAGAGGAACTGAGGCAGTGTTTGCTACCAGACACAGGCTTTGTCTCCTGTGGCTGGCATTCCAAAGGTTGTCTCTCACCCTTAGCCACAAGGAGTAGAGATACAATTCCTAAAATCAAGCAGAGCGGTCTACAATGCATGACTATACTATACAGTCATGGAGACACACTTGTCTAATTCCAAATATCTGGGGGAAAAATCTAATTGGATCAAGAAAGTAAGGAAGGAAGGATCACTTAGTATAAACATGGTTGTAGAATTGCTGGAGAAGGGCAGTTTGAGCTGGGCAGTGTTCTCTTATGACGAGAGAAACATTGGGTTTAAATCTCCTTTGCTGCTAGCTATGTGACCACACTGGGTCTCAGTTAATTTCTTCTATCTGTAAAATGGAAATAGTTATACCTATTTTAGAGGGCTATTTTGAGAATTAAGTGAAAAAATGTATGTGAAAGAGCTGTGTAAATAGAAGCATTCTACAAATGTGTTATTTTCCTCATACTACCAGTAATTTTGAAAATCCTGCTGGTAATAGCTTAATGTTTTCTCTCTCAGATTGTAGAGGACAAAGTTGACATAATCTTATTCCCCAGTTCTTGGCATCTGTTCGTCATATGCAATAACCCTCTCCTTAATATCTTTGCTATTTGTATATTTTTGCCTAGGCTGAGGTCCAAAAGATTTTCTTTCATATTTTATAGAAGCTTTATACTTTTAGCTTTTACATTTAGGTCTGTGATCCATTTGACTTTTTTATTTAGTGCAGAGTAATGGTTTGAGTTCTTTTTTGTATATGGATATTTTATTGTCCAAGTGAGATTTGTTATAAAGACTATTCTTTACTCTTTTTTGTTTTAAGATTTTATTTACTTGTCTTTAGAGGGGAAGGGAGGGAGAGAGGGAGAGAAATATCAATGTATGGTTACATCTCATGTGTCCCTTTCTGGGAACTGGCCCGCAACCCAGGCCCTGGGAACAACCACAGTTGTTTGGTCTGCAGGCCCGCACTCAATCCACTGAGCTACACCAGCCAGGGCTTTATTCTTTCTCCTTGGATTGCCTTGACATTTTGTCAAAAATCAAGTATCCACAAGTATAAGGACTTATTTCTGGACTTTCTGCTGTTTCATTGATCTGTATGTCTATCTTTGTACCGACACCACACTCTCTTGATTACAATGACTTGATAGTAAGTTTTAAACCTGGGTAACTAAGTCCTCCTGCTTTGCTGTTCTTTTTCAAAATTGAGTTGGCTCTTCTAGATACTTTACTAATCCATGCAAACTTTAGGATCAGTTTATCAATTTCTACAAAACAGCTTGTTGGGTTTTCACAAGAATTGTGTGGAACATATAGGTCCATTTGGGAGAGAATTAGCAACTTAACAATGGTGTCCTACAACTCATGAACCTGCAATATTATTCATCTGTTTAGATTGTTTTTTATACAACTTAAAAATGCTTTGAAGTTTTCTGTATACAAGTTTTTTCATGTTTTTT